TTTATTTAATAATTTTCCATGTGTCATTGAATGACAAATGATAATTTTTCTGTTATGGTTAATAATTGAAATAGCATACATGATACCTCTCTAGGGGTTTATATATCAAATATATCATCACTGTCTCAAAGTAGATACGACAACTATTGGCCCAAAATTGCTTTATTGAAAACTTCCTTAATGTGCTTTTATATGACAGGTTCTAACAGTTTATTAAATTTTTCTGTCATGAGTTAATTATGCCAGGAAGACAAGCAGCAGTGTTTTCTATACCAATATTAAAAGGTGGCCACAAAAGTAATGTGGTGCATTATTGCCAAATATGTTGATAACTTTGAAAAGCTGTTTCAAAATATTGTTTTTTTTATTCATTAGGAAATAATTCAATAACCTACAGATTTCAGTTATTTGACAAGTACCAATTTTTGCCTATGAGGGAGAAGACATGGTATGGAGGAAAAGGTACAGGAGACAAATCTGAATTTAAATCTTCATCACCTTCTATTTAATTGCTTTGTGACATGGACTTATCACTTCTGTCTTTGACTCTAAACATTCTAATTTTTCAAATTGTGATAATATTGCTTCTTTAAAGATTATTTGGAAATAAGCACCTGACTTAGGAACTGGTAGTTGTTGCTATAATTATGCACTATGTTAAGAGAAGCCAGATGATCAGGGTTGGCTCTTGGACACAAAAGCTCATGAATTTTAAGCATATTAATGAATTCCAAAATAGGAAATAAGTATATTTCCTATTTAAATAGCATACCTTGAAAGCATATTCCATCACTACATATAACCACATACACACACACACATTACTATGGAAAATCTGATTTGCACCAAAAAGTTTATGTTGCACTCCTCTAAAAGGTACCATTTGTCTTATTATTTGCTATGTATTAGAATTATAAATTACAAATTATTACTACTTCTATTTTCAGCATTAAAGGAGACTTGTTTGTATTACCAAATCACATGTTAATTTTGGAAGTATAATACTTTTGGTTTTCTTAATTTTCTTTCACTACCTTAGGATAATTCATTAGAGTATTTTCTATAAAAACATGAATATTTCTAATGATTAAAACCTGATTCACAAAACATGGCTAAAAACTTTGTAAAGGAAAAATATTGCTGATTTGTGGCCATTATTTTTCAAATATTGTTGACTTATGGTACCACTTTTAAATTTGAGTTTTCATTGACAATTCATGAATCAATATTTTAACATATGTACAAAACCTATCATCTAGGAATCTCTTTTCTGATTTTGTAGTCCCTCAGAGTATAATTTAATAGCAACACTATATGGTCAAACTGCTGTTTGATATTAAAATTACAATTTTTAATCCTGAGTCATTAAAAACCCTCCATTGAATACTGATGTAGTAAAGAGTTTCAAAGAGAAAAATGTCAGGGTTCTCGGAAGATCCTAGAATCATCTTCAGTATGTTCTTCCTTGGAGATATGAGTCACTTACTGGTCAGTTGGCTTGGCACAAACTGAAGGTCTATTCTTTGTCATAGATATGAATTAATGTTCCCCCCAAAGTCATCTTGCAAATTCACGCGACTGACTAGATCAGTCAAAAAGAAATGTGGATGATGCTCTACAAAGTAGCCATTGGTACTGGAGAGACCCAAACAAGTAATGTCTTTTTGTCTTTTATTAATTATTATACTCAACAAATAGCACATGCTCTCTAAATGAGAAACTTTCCAAAAAATACGAAATAATTTATGTGAAGGAAAAAAGGGAACAAGGATCCAGAAATAACTCAGATGGTAATTTATTAGTAGTTGGTTACTCTTTGTGTATTGTTACTTTGGGTATGAAATCAAATGATAATATCATCGAAAGAGGGATCCACTCATATTGAAGCAAAAGTCATCAAAAGATAAAATTAGAGTAAAAATAGGTGTAATTTTGATACATCAACATATCTTCAAATTTTCAAGTGTTTTAAAAAGGTGAATATTTTAAGTCATTTAAAGAAGCTAGGTTTTTATATCAAGTATTACCATGGACTACAAACTGCAAATGAGAGAGATCTAAGAGATGCCCTGAGAATTAACACTATGTGGATAATACTGTCATTTAAAGATTTTATAATTGCTAAAAATTCACTGATATTAATTTCCATCTTTGCAACTTTTAAAAAATAAAAAACACACCAAAATAGACACACAAAACACTTTTAGCTATGCTTTGAATTTTATAGAGGAAGCAGAAGAATTTAAAGCTTACAAACAAAAGTGAAATGGGATTTTAATTAAGAAAATTTTAATGCCAGCCTAAAGCAGCCCTAAAATTCAGAATAAAACATGGCTACTGTAACAGAAACAGGTTTATTTCTTTAGGAAGTGGTTTCTAATTCTGAAGCTGCAAATGTGCAGGCACACGTGATGGGGAATGTAAGGGTTGCCATGGTAAGTACACATCTTTTCTTGGACAGTCAAGTATTTTTAAAAATGCATAAAGAACTTTCACTTCATAATATGTCATGGAAATTGACTCTGCTTTCCTTACCAACATGTTAGTATGATGCAATGCAACACAGTACAGAAATAACCCACATTTCAAAAAACTTCAGCCCATTAAGATCGCTTATAAAACATGGAGTGAAAAATGAAATAAGAAATCTCCAAGTCGGAGAACTAATTAAATGGTGGGTCTAGAACAAATTCTACTTCCATTAAATTAATAAATAATCACACCTCAGGACATTCCACAGGCCTGATACATTCCCTGGGCGTCCAAATGCAAACATCACTAAACATCACTCTCGACATACTTTGGTCATATGCCTTATTTTTAAGGAAAAATGAAATCATTCCTATATTCCCACTTTCTCATTCTTTCCCCCATGCGATCAACGGTTTCCAAGAAGCAGGGAACGGACTCTGCTCTACTGTCTTTTGCACAAAATCTCCTGGAGGTTCTCTTAAGAGTCTGTGAAGTCAGCTCAAGACGCCTGGATGGAGGCGTGACACTTGGACTGGGGAGGCGGCAGAATCTGTTGAGAAACGCAGCAGGTTCCGAGGCGCTAGAGAACCCACGTGTACAGGGGCTGGGGAACTTTTCCGCCACGTCTCCCGGAAGGAAGGTCTCACTTTTAAATAGGGGGCTAGCGGCGGCGAGGAGCTGGGTGGGTGGAAGGTGGGCAGTAAAATAAGAGAGGTGGCGGCGAAGCAGAAGGTTCAAACCCTTCACAGGTATCTACTTGTGCTTCCCCACATTCTAGTCTCTCCCTCATCAACTTTATTATTTTTCCGTTTTACAGGAGGGTCTAAGCAACAGGGATGCTGAGCATCTCATAGGCTCAGCCAGGAACAAAGAAAATCGAGTTCCTAATACTGTATCTCTCCCGTTGGAGATCACGTGTCCTGCTTTCGCTGGAATGCACTCTTCTCGCCCACGCTATAAAATCTCTATTGTGCTTAGAAATTTTACCCACGTTAAAATATGCTCACTTATGAATTGCTTTTTATCTACCAAGAGAACCACATTTCAACGTACACAGGTACACATTTACGTGGTGACCCAGTTACCACTGCAGGTGAATTCGATGTGTTGAAAGTGTATTGGGAAAGTAATGGAAAAGAGCAGGTGGAGGATCTTCATGTCTCACTGAGCGCACCCTCCCCTCCCCCGTTTTCTAATTTCTTTTGAAGAAGTTCGAAAGGAACGTGGGAGTCGTGGGAGTCGCAGATGGTTCCTTTTTGAAGCCGATTCCTGGGAGTTGTGAAAGTGACCCCTTCCCTTCTCTGCCTGGCGCTGCGCCCTCTCGTCCAGCCCTCTTGCTTTGTGACTTGATGGGGAGGAGACAGAGGGAGAGGGCGGAGGCGGGTCCTTTATGATGGCCAAGAAGTAGTATAATGAAGCAATTTTGCAGCCATCTCCGTTATCATGAAGTCACACTATTTTTAAAGACATTCTGTAAAAGTCCCATCCCCTTATTCCCATTCGTGACTCTTCAAACTGTAAACATAGGAGACCCTTTGGCACCGAATTTAATTGTCCGTGCGCTAAGGTGCTATGATTACCCTGATGCTAATGTGCTTTCCTCCCTCTTTCCACGTAGGACCCAAAACTAGTCCTGCATCCTTAATGACTCTGAAAGGAAGATGCAAGATGCTGAAGGGGGCCCAGCACTGGGCTTGGCAATAGTGCTGCTTCACCAGCTTCTCCGAGCAACACAAAGGAGATGTGTGGGCTGGGGGGAAAGGAGACATCGCTTTCCCGGACTCCCGGGAAGAAGGGCTTCGCTCCATCGCTCCCCCACTTCTTTTGGTTCTCCAGTCTTTTATACTCTTTCTTCCCCTTCATCTCCTCCCCAAAACCCCACCCTATCCTTTCATTTCCCAATGGCATAAAGGTCTTCTAATTGTATTTTTCAAACAAATAGGCATCACACAGTAATACTACAGCTTCTAAGATAAAGGGACAAACGTGACCTGCCACAAGTGTGTGTGTGTGTGTGTGTGTGTGTGTGTGTGTGTGTGTCTGTGTGAGAGAGAGCGAGCGAGAGAGAGAGAGAGAGAGAGAGAGAGAACGAATATCAAACGAGCGCTTCATCCTTCAGACACCTCCAGAAAAAGCTGACTGGAGATATTCAAGATAATAAAGAACTATGATCAACCTCAGCCCAACCGTCGGTCTCAGCACCAGCACCCAAAATCGCTCTTTGCCTTCCTTTTCGCAATATGTAACCCTTTAAGCTCACCCGCCAGCCCAGGCCACTCGGCACTCCCCAGCACCCGCAACAGCAAGCACGCGATTCTAAATGCCCCGCAATCTACCACATCCTCGCCACCTCCGCGGGCCACCCGGCAAGCAGCTCCCAGCGAGCGCTGAAGGCTCGGGTTCTCCTACCCGCCCCTCGTTCCGTCGGCCACCTGGGTCCCTCACCTAGGGCGCTCACTGTCGCTGCGGCCACAAGCGGCGAAGCCCCCGCGACCCCCTTGGCCCCGGAGCAATAGTATCCTACTCACATCGCCGGCGGGAGAAACTGCCCATGAGGTTCCGGAGAAAGTGAATCGTGCAGCTGCCGAGGGTTATTCCTTAAAGTGTCCGGGGGTCCGCAGTGGAGTGGGCACGAGGTCCTCGGAGGAGAGGAGGGGTGAAGCAGGAGAAGAGAAGGAGAAAGAGGGGATTCCAAGCAGCTGCCACGTTAGACCATGATGCTGGTGCCCTTCAGGTGGACAGCTGGAGAGGTTTCCGCGGGAAGCGGCCGAGGGGAAGCCCGAAGCGCCGGCGGGGGAGGCAGGAGCGCATCCACTCCCCAGCTTCCGCTGCCTTGCGCGCCGCGCAAGCGACCGCAGCAGCAGAGGCGGCAGCGGCGGTGGCGGAGGCGCAGCTCCCTCCCCACCCCAGAAGGCTCCACAGACAATAAATCCCCGGAGGAGAAGAGACGAGCCGAAAAGGCGAATCTTGCACCCAACTCCGTAACACCCCGTGTCCGCTGCCGCGCCTCTCCTAGGCGAGGATCCCCGGGGACCCGGGAAGCAGCGGGCGGTTTGGAGGGGCCGTGCGCTCCCGCGGCTGCAGGCGACGGTGGAGTGGGCGGTTGCAGGTCCCTCCGGTGAGAACTCGCTGCCCAGGGGCTGACTGTCCGTGGCTTGAAGCCCGGGGTTCTCCCGGAGTGGGGTCCTCCTCGGTGCAGTGGCTCGGTGCACAGGTGCCTGGATTGGCAGGCGAGGAGGCGCTGCTCCTGGCTCTTGGCTGTGTCTCCCTTCTCTCCCCGCCCCCTCTCTTATTTTTCCCACCCCCTTTTCCGACGACACCAGCTGCAGCAGCCTCAAAGTGCTAAAACATGTCAAGGAGATTTTCCTGCAATAGGGGAGGGGGTGACCACTTCCACAGCCCTCGGCTCCTTTTCGGGATCCTCGCCTGCCCCTCTGACCTCTATTCGGGCTCTCCCAAATTGTGAGAAGCAAATTCCCAGTCCGGCGGAGTACTGAAATGGTCGCCTTCTCCCGGCTCTGGCTGTTTTTTGTCAAGAACAGGAAGACTGGCCGAGCTCTCCGGGTTCTTTCAATCGCCCGTTGGGCTCCAAGCAGGTGCTCGAGGCACGGCGCCGCCGGGCAGCGCGCGGCCGCCGGCTCGTCCTGCAGCTCGACCGGCCCGTGGCGCTCCGGCGGCCCCGGCGCGGCGTCCTGCAGCGCGGGCGACTCCGCCGCACCAGCGCCTCCGGGCCTCTGCGCCTTCCGGAGCGCCCCGCACCCGCACCGGCTGGGTGACGCTGCGCCCGTGGCTCCGCAGGCTGCCGCTCCTGCTACCTCAGCAAAGAGGCGGCCGGGAGCGCCTCCTCGGGGTTTCCTCCCCCGCCCGCCTTCCCGGCTGCAGGTTGTTGGCTGCCAAGGAGAAAAGTCTCTGCTAGCGGTTCAGTCTCTTCACATTAGTCAAGGCAACGACCTTTGTGCCTGCTTTCGCGTTCCCTTCTCCTGGGGCCGGGGTGGCTGCCCTGGGTGTGCGCAAAATTAGAAGGGGTTTTCCAACCACCCTTCACGCTTCCACCCCCTCTCCTCCGGCCGGGAACACACATTCTCACACTCACACACGCTCATCTCCTCTCTCACGTAAAGGCACACACAGACATATAAAGTCTCACACGTCTTTAAACTCCCCAAAGCAGCGATACGTTAAGAAACCTATTGACGAGGCTGGTGCTATATTTAGACTTCTCTTTTATTCTCTAAACCCAACGGGTCAATTCTCTCTTTAAAATAAGAGTTATCATCCTGAAATCATTTTTTTTTTCTTTCCGTGGTATACAGGCTATAAGCTTTTCGTTTCCTCATGATAAGTGAGAATGTCCCTTCATCTCTCTACATTGCTAATACAGTAGACGTCATGATGTTCAGATGCCACTCTGGTGGATGCAAATTCACAGTTTAGTAAAAAGAAAATGCATTTGCTCATATTCTTGGATTTGCAATGCTAAAATCTTCAAGGTCAAAAATCATCTTTTCTGGCTGCTAAGGGTTGTCTGGGAAGAGAATTTGGAGATTGACAGCTAATCAACAGAGTACCAAGAATGATTATTTTCCACTTTATGTGGGCCATGAATGAGGGGTGACTTTTAAGGATAACTTTCCAGTGTATCATATTATTTGCATGTAAAAAGGAAAAGGAATAAGAGCATATTTTCAAAAGCCAGGTTATTTTAAAAGTGTGTTATAAAACACCACCAAGAAAGGGTTCTGAAAGGGCAAGGAGACAAAAAAAATTTTTTTAAGGGCAAATTTTTGAATTGAGCTCTCTGGGGCTCTGCTTTTTCACCCACAGTTTTATCCTTATAAACATTTGCCACATCTTAGTGTTTCAGCTGGACAGAGTGATATGAAAATTTTTAGGTTGCAATTGAAAATCTAAAATAAATAACCTCACACAACAATTACACAGTTGCAGCAATACTTTTATAGGCCTCCAGTTCTTTTGGATACAGTTTGCACATAACTTTCACATATATTCATTATTTAATCATTTCCTAAAACTATTTAGTGGACAATATTTTCCCACACTTATTGGAAGGGCACAAGGCTCATCTCAGAAATGTACCCAGTTGCCCTGCACCTGAACTCAGAATTTCTTATTTTAACTCCAGGATTTAACTCCCTTTTACCAAAATATTTGACCAAAAAATTCTGTGTGTTAAATCACAACCAATTATGAGGAAACTTATGATTATTGCAAACAGGTAGCATACCTACCAATGAACTTATATCCCATGTGTTAAGTGGAACTGTTTTCCTAAATAAAAACGAAATTTTCCCTTCTAATGGGGAGAAGGGCTTCCCAGGTGGTGCTAGTGGTTAAGAACCCACCTGCCAATGCAAGAGACAAGAGACTCTGGTTCCATCTCTGGGTCAGGAAGATCCGCTGAAGAAGGAAATGGCAAACCACTCCAGTATTCTTGCCTAGAGAATCCCCATGGACAGAGGAGCCAGGTGGGCTACAGTCCATAGGGTCTCAAAGAGTAGGACATGACTGAAGCGATTTAGCATGCATGCAATGGGGAGAAAGATATTTTTGGAACCACAAACTAAAAATCGATGATGCCTCTGTAATATATTTCAAGCCATATGTACTCCTTTTCTCTTTGTCATATCATAGAACCTCGATTTCAGACTCTAGAGGTTCAAATGGATAAATCATCTTAAATGTAAGCAGGTGTGATGCAGCCCCTATGGGTTTTAACAAACATGATTTTAGCATTAAAAAAAATAATAAGAAGGAAGTATTCTCTGTAGAATGAGCCTTGAATACCATGGTTCAACTTTTTTTCTAAGATTTATGAATCTTGAACAAATTTTGGCCACCTTCACTATTTAAACAATGAAGCATACTGAGGAGATTTCAATAGTTCCAAAGAATTATGGAACTATTGAAATGCAAATACAGATGCTGTCTTTAAACTCCAAGTTGCCCTGTCATCAACCCTCTGGAAATGCAGATGACTGTCTGAAAACCAGAGAAAGATGAATGCTGAATATCCTTAGGCTGTTGCTCAAGCAGAGGTCCAATTCCAAAACATTAACAACTCTAAAAATTAGATCAAAGCAGTTTTAATAGATCAGTTATTCAGATTACATCTATCAATGGCTAAATATGAAATCCATAATATTTTGTAAATTGTTAATCAACTCCTTTGATTCACACTACTAAATGTAGTGTGATGATACTACATTTTGAGATGATAATCTGTTTCCAGGAAAAGCAGGACCAACTTTATTTGAAAATAAGACTTATGGTGATATTAACTGTCAGGTGTCGACTATCTTTCTAATAACTTTCTTTAGAGGCCTGGTTTTAGAGAAGTTGCTTTGGCAATTCCTAATATAAACAAAAACCATTTATGTATCTTAATATCTTAATTATTAGTATCTTATCTAATATCTAACTTAATTAGATATTGGTTCTTAAGGAAATTTTTAAAATGTTAAATTTTTATGTATGGGGATGTAGATCTGAAGAGCTCAGAGTTTGTGGAGCTTGGGATGACAGGATCCACATCAGTGGGGTACCATATGGGTATGGAGGGCTGTTAGTTTTTGAAAAACAGGGAGAAGCACTGAGCAGGACGTGGGAGTCATTAGATTCTTCTTCAAATTCATTTGTTCGATGGCCTTTACTGTGAAACTAATCTCTCAGATTAACAGTCTATTCTAGCTAAAGAGAAGGTTTGTTGTTACAGTTAACTCATTTGGATAATTATTTTTTATTTTAAACATTAATTGGCATATTTATGATCTACAAAATACAATGGACACTGATGTATGAATCATGCATCTCTTTTAAGAAGAAAAATGTGATTGATTAAGACTGAAGCTTCCTCTGCCATTCGTTTACCTTCTTCCCTCACCCCGCAGAGGCAACATCATTCCTAAATTTTTGTATTTATTTGTACATTAATAACAGAGAATGCAATGGCAACCAACTCCAGTACTCTTGCCTGGAAAATCCCATGGATGGAGGAGCCTGGTAGGCTGCAGTCCATGGGGTCGCTACGAGTTGGACACAACTGAGCGACTTCACTTTCACTTTTCACTTTCATGCATTGGAGAAGGAAATGGTAACCCACTCCAATATTCTCGCCTGGAGAATCCCAGGGATGGGGGAGCCTGGTGGGCTGCCGTCTATGGGGTTGCACAAAGTCGGACAGGACTGAAGTGACTTAGCAGCAGCAGCACATTAATGAATGTCATGCACTTTCACTAAGAATATTTATATGTTGCTTTGGTAATTTAACTTTTACAAAAATGATATAATGCAGTTTGAATTCTTTTGCCACCTGTTTTGGATTTTGAAGAAAACAACATGTCTATGAGAATGAGTCATCTTGGTATATGTCACTCTGGTTCACTAATTTTTATTGCTTTGTGATAGTTGACATGAATTTATCACTTTCACCTTCTGAAGACAATTTTTATTTTATAAGTAATGCTGTTATGAATATGTCTGTTTATATACATGGATGAGTGCTTTTCAATAGTATACTATCTAGAAGTGGATTTCCTGGGTTGTAGTACATATTTAATACTAAATTGTTTTCAAACAGTTTTATGTTCTGGCTATCATTTATAAGAGTTTTCTTTGATTCACATCCTGGAAGTACCTGGTATCATTAGGTACTTTCAGGTTGTCCAGTCAAATCCAAGGGGTAAAAGAGCATTTTATCATAGTTTAAATGTGCATTTTCCTGCTTAACTATGAGATTGAGCATCTTTTTTTTAAATTAATTTATTTTTTTATTGAAGGATAATTGCTTTACAGAATTTTGTTGTTTTCTGTCAAACCTCAGCATGAATCAGCCATAGGTATCCATATATTACCCTCCCTTATGAACCTGTCTCTCATCTCCACCCCTCTCGGTTGATACAGAGCCCCTCTTTGAGTTTCCTGAGCCATACAGCAAATTCCCATTGGCTATTTTACATATAGTGGAGTAGGCAATGGCACCCCACTCCAGTACACTTGTCTGGAAAATCCCATGGACGGAGGAGCCTGATAGGCTGCAGTCCATCGAGTCACTACAATTTGGACATGACTGAGAGACTTCACTTTCACTTTTCACCTTCTCACATTGGAGAAGGAACTGGCAACCCACTCCAGTGTTCTTGCCTGGAGAATCCCAGGGACGGGGGAGCCTGGTGGGCTGCTGTCTATGGGGTCGCACACGGTCGGACACGACTGAAGTGACTTAGCAGCAGCATTTTGCATATGGTAATCTAAGTTACTCTTTCCATGTAACTCTTTCCATACATCTCACCCTCTCCTCCCCTCTTTCCATGCGTATAAGTCTATTGTCTATGTCTGTTTCTCCATTGCTGCCCTATAAATAAATTCTTCAGTACCATTTTTCTTGATTCCATATATATGCGTTAGAACACCATATTTATCTTTCTCTTTCTGACTCATTTCACTCTGTTATTAGGTTCTAGGTTCATCCACCTCATCAAAACTGACTCAAATGTGTTCCTTTTAATGGCTGAGTAACATTCCATTGTGTATATGTACCACAACTTCTTTATCCATTCATCTGTCAATGGACATCGACATGCTTTCAAGTTCTAGCTATTGTAAATAGTGCTGCAGTGAACAATGGGATACATGAGTCTTTTTCAAGTTTGATTTCCTCAATATATGCCTAGGAGTGGGATTGCTGGGTCATATAGTGGTTTTATTCCTAATTTTAAAAGGAATCTCCAAACTGTCTTCCATAGTGTGTGCATTAATTTACACTCCCACCAACAGTGCAAGTGTGTTCCCTTTGCTCCACATCCTCTCCAGCATTTATTCTTTGTAGGGTTTTTACTGATGGCCATTCTGACTGGTGTGAGGTGATATCTCATTGTAGTTTTGATTTGCATTTTTCTAATAATGAGTGATGTTGAGCATCTTTTCATGTGTTTGTTAGCCATCTGT